GTATGGACTAGATACCCGAGAAAGATCAACCGGCACGATGCTCGGCTAGCAGTAGTGTGGCATGCAGCTGTGCCAGCAGGCACAATCTGCACGCTGCAGTCACAATGATCAGCTAAAAGGAAGCTGCCGGCAATCAAAATGATATTCATCGGTGCTATGTCTTGCTAAGCTGTGTAGCGTACAACAGTTTCCCGGAGATAGGTTTCGGCCCACAGCACCGACCGTATGTTTTCCCCCTATGCACGCACACTTTCACGTGGAATGGCAGGTGTCATCTAGGATATCCCTAGAACAACCTGGGGCGCTGCCATACAGCTCTTGGCACTAAGCCCGGCGAAGGCGAGAACCTAAACCTTATTCCGGGCCTTTCGAGCGCCCATTACAACCTTAGAGCTATGACGCGACGCGATTCGCCTGGTCGCGCCTCCTTGACTCGATGCTCATGCGGGCTAGAGCAGACGGACGGCCTGGCTTACCACGGTATTTGGAGCGGGCCACAGATAGTCTCTAGTCAGGGCTCTCGAGTGCACTGTAAAGAAGCCTCGTTGACCCGCTCGTTGGTCTCTTTGATTCCCCCAGCATTCGTTCATTTTTACCATCTTTGTCATGGCTCCAGCAAAAGAGACATCGGTTGATCTGTGCAAGCGGGTCAACGCACAGGGAAACACCATCGCAATCCGCATGCTCGAATACCTGAGCACAGCAAAGACACCTATTCATGGCTTTGAGCCACTTGCCAGAGAGTTCATCGAACTCTGTCAGGTGTTATGGTCCATTGAGGCCGGTGTCACGGAAGCTTCGAAAACACGAAGTGGATTTCCCGTCGAGGTATCTCAAGAACTTGACAGAAGGGTCCGCCAAGTCAACGAAGAGTTCTCTGTTTTGGCCCAAATGGTCAACAAGTGTACGTTTCCCCAAATCTTGGATTGTCTGCTTCTATTACCCTCGCTTGCATGGTTGTTGCGGACTGTTGCTGACAGCATTACTTGCTACAGTTGTCGACAAGGAGAACCACAAAGGCGGCTTTGGCATGAAGTTCCGAATGATGTTTGCCGACACAGATGTCGAGAAAATGCGCCACACACTGTCACGAAGTCGTGACTCCCTCAAAGTCAGCTCTGCTATGTTCAGGTGGACACTAGGCGACGCGCGAGCCGATGCTTCCATGGGCATTGGATATGCCGGACTGATTGCCGCGTTGGAGCGACTGAACCCAAGCAAAGCTTCCAGCCTTCCACCTCTACACCCAGCGCCGACATCCGATCTTCCACCGACACCACCTACAAAAGCTCCGAGCAATCATGGAGACCACCCCCTCTTACCACCTTCACATCCTTCACACCGTATGGACAGACCGTCACTGAACGAACTTCGCCACGAGGAAGGACACTCGTATGACAGTCACAGTTCAAATTTCCGGCACGAGGACACTGGCCTCTCGCCAGGAATCGTTGATCTTCACAAGAATTGGCGCGCACCAGCCAGCGCTCGTTCCAGTGAATCAACCAGGGACACAATGTACCATCAGAATGTTCGGTATCACGAGGATCCGGTGTACGAGGATGTCGCATCTCACTCCTCTACCCGGTCGCCCACCATGGAGGAGAAATTGCACAGTCTCAATGTCAGCGAGCGCTACATGGACGATCATCACTCTTCATCCAAGGTGGATTCTGCCATCACATCGCCACACTGGGCGCCACGCCAAAGTGGGGGCTCCAAGAATGTTGGTGGCAAGGCAGCACTCTTCAACGCCGTCGAACAGAGGAGGCACCGGATGCTCGAGCAGCTCCTTGACGGCGGTGCTAAAGCAGAACCTCACATGGAGTCAGCAATGCTTCGCGTCGCTGCCCAAAATCAAGACGTGGAGAGTATCACGCTGCTTCTACGATATGGTGCGGATGCGAACGGTTTCGACCGCGAAGGTGTCACACCCTTGTTCGCCGCCACTCGTGCCCAATGTCTCGAATGCGCGAAGACACTACTAAAGCATGGCGCTGATCCTAACCTGTCCGCCGGCCCCGATTCCGAATCACCTCTAGCGCTGGCTGCGTCTCAGAACTCTATTGATCTCGTTCAATTGTACCTCGCCAATGGCGGCGATGCTGGCTTCATTATGGAAAATGGTTCTACGGCACTCGTATCAGCCATGAACAAGACCACTTCGCCCAAGTGTGTTGAAATGCTCCTGAGCGCGGATGGCGATGCCAACGCAAAGAATGGAGAAGGTACAACGGCCCTCTTCCAGGCTATTCAGGCGAACCGTGTAGATCTCATGACTGTGTTGCTCGACCACGGAGCGAATCCCAACCTTCCGGGCCCTAAGCACCCGCTCTGGCCATCCACCTACAAGCCAAAAGCTCTTCAGCTGCTGCTTTCTCGCGGTGCTGACACCAAGAAGACACCAGGTGTCATGGAATTGGCTTCTAGTCTTAAGAAGCTGGATTCCATCAAGATCCTCATGGAAGCTGGTGTATCACCCAACCTGCGGAAAGACGGAGTCTACACACCACTCTGCTCAGCTATTCGTGACAACAGCCCGGAGATCGTCACTTATCTGCTAGAGCATGGCGCAGACCCCAACTTCAACGCTGCGGAGTACCCGGCCTTCAAGTGTATCACACACAAGCGCACGCATTTCCTCCCGCAGCTGGTTGCCGCTGGCGCAGACCTTAACAAGCCCAAGGGTATTATCGAAACGGCTGTCAAGTTTAACGACAAGGACGCGATGATTTACCTGCTCGATCAGGGTGTCAACCCCAACGACCGCACACCGGACGGATGCACACCGCTTACCACCGCCATCAACGACGATCACGGCGAGCTTGTCGATATCCTTCTCTCTCGCGGCGCAGACCCAGCCATCCGTGGCAAGGATTGGCCTCTATGCATGGCTGTCAAGCGCCCCACCATTCTCAAGAAACTCCTTGCCGCAACCCCCAACCCACGTGCCTTCCGTGGTGTCGTCGAGATGGCTGTTGTAGCCAATCAACTCGAAAGCATCAAGCTTCTCCTCGCAGCAGGCGTCAGCGTCGAAGACAAGAACTGCGGTGTCTTCTCTCCACTCACAACGGCCATTCGCGAAGAACGCAAGGTCATTGTTCGCTACCTTCTCGACGTCGCGAATGCCGACCCCAACGCCCCTGGCGAGCACTTGCCCATTGTCAAAGCCCTCCGCCGCTACTCAGGCGACACAGAGATCATTCAGATGTTGCTCACACGCGGCGCGGACATCAACAAGATGCACCGCGGCTGGAATGCTATTCTGCAAGCCGTCGAGAACGGCGATGCTGAGATCCTCAAGCTTCTGATCGACATGGGTGGCACCGTCGACCTTCAACTACTCGACGAATCCGGCCGCGCCGTTATCGACATTGTCACTGAGAGGGGCTGGGAAGAGGGCCTTGCGCTCCTCTTCCCGAATGCGTCCAGCAGTCCGAAGGCCAACGTCTCAAAGGCCAGGTAGTAGGTAATCCACCACTGCTTTCTCCCTCTTGTTACTTTGCGGCAGGAAGAGAGCTGACTAGCCGCAACAGTAACAAGAAGAGTTTCTCAATCTCTGACTGGCGCTGGATGAGCATCGAGCTTGAGAAGGGAGATCTGAAGAGTAGTGATGACGACGACGACGTTCCGGACGATTGCAGTCAAGCTTCTAGTGAGCTGTTACACGCATAACGGAAGGGTCCGTATTATCACTTGCCTTTTCTTTCTCGTCATGGAAGTAATGCTGGTTGGGAGGCTTGGGCATGGTTGCATTGGCGTTCTCGGTATACCACCTGTCATTTAGCATCCTTTTCTTTGGTTTTACACGACACGGAGCGCACTTGACTACTCAATCGGTAGTAATCTTCTTGTTTACTGGAGCTGCGCTTTTGTGTATCATTCGTCTCAATACATTTATACATACTTTACATCCACATGATCATTTTTCCTTCTTGATAATCACATCGACCTTTCCAACTATTGCGTTCACCCACTCAATACCCCTCTTCTACACACCATATCATAATCAAAATCACGCTTCGGTCCGAATACCTCCTCACTCAGGCAGCCCTAGTCTGAACTTATTGCCCTGCATTGAACAAAATCCTTTAGTCCGCCACACTCGCCTTGCTCACACCCTCATCTCTGTACCCACATTCCAGGCCCTCGGTACACACGAAACCTTATCATTAGTCCCAAACGCGGGAGTTGAGGCTTGATAGACTAAAAGCTTTTGAGCTCGTGACTACACACAAGTACCAGAATGCGTTATCTTAGTATAGGCCTAGAAACGTAGGCAGAACTCAATCGGCGATCGCATTTGCGCCACATCCGTCGCGGGTCGTCGTCCAAAGTACTAAGATGCTTAGTGGGGAAATCAGCTGCGGATGATGCGCAAACCTTAATTGACTCTCACCCGGTCGGGAGTCGGCACAGGGACATATGGGTTAACCTTGTCCGTGATCACGGAATGGGGTATGCTCAACGAGGGTGTTCCCTCTAGACTTTGCCTCGCCTTGCCTCGTTTTGCCGTGTGGTGCTTACGGAAAACTCACATCCATGCCCCTCACATCATGCACGCTGATCGTCAACAAGATTGATACAAGCGAGGAATCCCATTAGACTAAATAACGCATCGTTCTACTTTAGAGGGATGAAGCCATCGCATCTCCAAACAAGAATGGAATAAGACATCCGTGACGAAACCAAAGGGTATAAAAATAAGTGGCTAATGTTTCGCAAAGCCAAGAATGTGAATGAAGATCATGAAGTCGTAGATCGAGATTGTTACTGAACAACTGACCCTTCAACGTATTTTTTGTTGCGTGAAATAGCTGGTCAGCGTGGCCTAAATGCAAAGACTCTAACGCTGGAAGAGAGAATGAGGGAAACGATCGTTATACATTATGTCGTGAATAGAGCGTCGGAGCGACACGCTCATGCGAATGCTGCAGACGAGGGCGTTGCTCGGTGGCGGACTTGTGATGGTGTTTCAAGCTTTGATCAGCCAAAGCGCTCTACACGCTAGGAAGCCAGAAGGAAAGCAAGAACTGTCCCACAAGACGTGACGTATATTTCGTCTGGTTGTCGGCTGAGATGCTGACCTGCTGCCGTTGTTGCAGGAAATCAACTGGATTGTCATTAGCAAGGCCTCTCTCGCAACATCCAAGTAATGCGATGGTATCGACTTACTGTTCTCCTTGACCAACTGCGCAACTTGTCTCACGAAGTTGACACTGCTCGCATCTCCGAAGCCCACCTCCTTTTCCCAGTCGTGATCAGCGTCGCGCATGGGATTATGCTTGCGGTTGTACTTCCATCGGAATATCTGCTGCACGAAGTGCATCCGCTGATCAATCTCACGACACGCGATATCCGCCTGGCTCTGCGCGTCTCTCAAGTCTAAGCGCTCTGTAGTAGCCTTGGTAGACATGACTAGGTGAATGGTCTTTTGCTGGTCTTCAAGCGCCATGCACATACCTAGCACCGCGACAAAAGCGGCAAGCCACTTATCGCAGCCCTTGGAGGATTTGAAGATTTGCTGAAGCTTGTTCAGAACAGTAGTCTGAATTGAGCGTTGCAGACGAGAGAAGAAGTATTTGAGCTGTCGGTTAGTCATGCGCGGCGATGTGTAGTTCTCGACGTAAGAGTTGTGGCCGCTGTACGAGTGCATGCGTGACAGTGTTGCGGCTTTCGTTTCCTCGGCGATGGTGAGTGTGTGTGACATGATGAACGTGACCACGATAAGGCGGAAGATTTCACGGAGTAGCTTTGCCTCGTCGTCCGACTTTGGCTTCACGCGCGTCATCAGCTTGAAGAGCTTCTGTTGGAAGTCGTTGTCATCTTCCATCCAGCAAAGCTCGCCAAAGGCGTCGAGGTGATGGTCGACAATCTCGGTGATATACCTGTCGTATTTCTTCTCTTCGTTGTGGTTGATGTGCACCATGCCTAGTGCTGGGCTTTGCTTCTGGATAGCGACTCTCGTGTGTGTGACAGGATCCGTCTTGTACTGGATTTGCACTAGCAACGCGTCGCCACGGGGGATGAACTCGTACACCTTTACTGGCATCCGAGGCATATTGTCTTGGCCGCATGTCATCATGACGGTTAATTCGACACTTCCCCATTGTTGGATGTACTGAGTCACGAAATGCGTGAGGTTTGCGTCCTCATGCATTTGCGTAACCAGAGAAGGAAGGAAGTATGGCGACAAATCGATGAGCTTCAGCCGATTACATCCAAGGCCACAATCAGCATTCGGTCGCTGAGATCGCTTGAAGCAACGCTCGCAGATATCGCCCGGCCCACACTTGTCTCTCTGCAACACACAATGCCAGCATGCCACGATCTTACGCATATCATGCGCTGCTTTGGCAACAGTCGGCTCGAGATGAGTGCCCAACGCTCTGCCACCAGACTTTGCTGCCAGTGCTTTCTGTGCTGCACTCTGCGATGACTCTGGCTCAGGAGATGCATCGAAACTCAGTTCAGGTACAGCGCTGACTGTGGAATAGTCTATCTTGATAGAAGGTTGATGTGGTTGCTGTAGCTGCGGCAGTTGTTGCAGATGGGTGTATTGCTGTGTCTGATACTGGTCGAAGATCATCTCAGAGTCGGAATGTTGATAAGATGAGTATACGCCATCGGAGCTCCCCGGACTGGGTGCGGAAGGGCTAACTTCTGGCTGATACGGAGACCTTGGGTGGTAGCCCGTCGATGAGGCCGTCGATGGTGGGGCAGGAAATTGGTTGCTGGTGATGTAAGTATCCGTGAAGAGACTAGATGATGCGTTGTAGTTGACAAAGTTTTGCTGATCGGGTGGTGGTGATGCGCGCGTGAATTGCATCTCTATGGACTGATGAGTCGGAAGTTGTGTTCTTGGCACATGGTCGAACGGGCGATGAGGAAGATTTTGGCCTTGGGTGAAGTATAGTTCACCTTGGAATGATGTCGTGGGTTCGCTAGGTGAGATCAGGGAGGAAGGGTCTGTATATTGCGCTGCCCACGAGTCCACATCCACCAGATAGTCCGAGTAATTGATCGGATCGCTCGCAGGGTCGAAAACGACATGGCCGGATCGAGGGACCATTGAGGACCGCGAAGGTGCTTGTCCATTCCAAGGGTCATGGCGAGGTGGCTGGGTAGTATAGTTCTGATTGTACATGTTGGTTTGAGGATGTGCCGGTGCTACGTGGTGTGATGGTTGGGTCTGCATAGTATACTGCTGTTGATACCGCTGCGTCTCAGCCATTGTAGCGTTAAACGCCGCCTGGACTGCTATGCGGGTGTCAGCGGATATGGCTGAGCTATGTCAAGATGACAAACCTTGATCGCTGAACAACATGCCAGAATCCACCCCGGGTATGGAGTGGTGTGAGCCGTGGGATGACATGGTATTGCCGTTATGGTGGTAGTTAGGCGTGTAATCGATCATGTCTCCCTCAAATGAAGAGCCTTCTGGCGTCCTTACAGACGTGGGAGAGGTCGAAGAGCTGTCAATCTCCCATTGCATATACTCGGGTGGCTGGTCTTGGGGCAGTTCCGGTTGTTGCGGCAGACCGCGGCTCACAGGCGGTGGGGTCGCAAGCGGGCCAGGCGAGAGTCCAGTATGGTTGATCAGGGAATCTGTTGGTGTTTTCGAGCGCCGGCTGTCATATTGACCATAGACAAATGCATGCGGATCGATGAAAAGCGGCTGGTCCTGGTAGGTCTGGTAGTGCTGTGAGTATGTCGACATGATGCGCAAGTGGCGGCCGGGGCCAGACAGAAGTTAGGGTCTTCCTAGACCTTGCGCATCAGACGGCTATGAGAATCCTGTTGTGGGATGATGACCCAGCGCTCGAGCCACGGACTGGAGATGGTGAAGACGGGAAGACAACGGCTCGTACCCGGGCAGAACAGCGATGCGCAACAGGGAACGGCACGCGCGAAGGGTCTGACCAGAATGGGGGACGTCCAACACTACTCGAGGAGGACGCGCAAGAAGAATCTGTCTCAGAGCGGCTGATTGTCAGAAGTTCAGATGGCGATTAGTCTGGTGGCATTCCCGCCCATCTTACGCTGCCCCGCGAGGACCGGTGAAGGACAACCGGCAAATGCAAGCTATTGGCTTAGCTGCATGCATCCGCACAGCTTTTAGATCGCACCAAACCACAACCAACATTCGCGCTGCCTTCGCGCTGCGCTGCAAATCACCGATGGTTTGAGGTCGAGATTCTGTCGTCAAAGTGGCTGGTCGCGTCCCATTTTGCACGTTTTGGTCGCGATTTTTGCTCGTCGCGGGAGCCATGTCCTGAAACACATGGAGTCGTCCCCAGCCGCCTCGATGTGCCTCAGGCATGACTTATGCAATGCACAGCCTGCGCCTTGTTCGCTAAGCCATACCTCATCAAATGCAGCCTTGGGGGGACGAATGAAGGTCGCACTGAAGGGGACGGCTGGTTGAGCAACTGCAAATTACGATCTAGTGCGGCTCTGCGATGTTGACCGGTAGACGAGCTGCCAGCTCATGCTGCGGGCAGTGACATATGTGCGGGCGCGCAACCCAATCGTTTCCGTCCGGCAATAGGTCATACCGTTGTTTCCACCCGGTTGCGCGCATCCATGGGATGTGAGCGTTCTGTGTAAGAGGGCTTGTCGAATGCCAGCGCACACTGGCGGACGGTAAGGTAAGCCGGATCATGTGGCGGCTGTCGCGCGTCATGTGTCGCTCGACGTCGTTGGCTTGCGTCTCTGGCAGAAGTGCGCTATGTGAAAGACGGAGGGGTGGCAGCAGTGTGAAGCCAGAGCTGGCACGAAGAACGTCTTTGATCATCGTTCAGGCTTGCTGCTTTGCGCGCGCTCGTAGACCTGGCAGGCGCCATCGTGTCCTGCCTCCAATCGACCTGGGCAGACACTATGCCCACTCCAGCTTAGGGCGCAGCACTGTGAGGAGCACGATTTTCGTACAGCCGGGTTTGGCCACGAGACAGCACCACCGCGCCTACTGTGGCGCAGTTTGATTCTTATCGTCGTTACGTTCAATCTGACCTTCCGACTAGTTGTGCACCTTGCTCGGATCCCACAGTGAGTTCGAGCGACCGCGGTGTGCAACCGGCGCCACCTGCCGGGTGGCTGCTGCTTCACTTATTCTGTTCGAGACAATCGACAAGGCGCTTGAAAAGCGCTCAACCCAGGAAACCCTCGGTTGACGGTGCTACCACATTGCATTGTGTGACGTCATGGGAGTATGCTGCTGGGTGACAGGGCAATTGGTAAGCAGGAGAGACACTGGATATGAATTTTCGCGACAACAGCACACTCTAATCTGGTGGAAAGTCATGACATACAGCACAGGCCGGGCCATGTCGCACCTAGTTGCCACGAGGCTGTGCATATCGCAGCAGCTCCTCATCCTTCATCAACCGATCGTGGCATCCTTTCTCCAAACACACGCATACCTCGATACCTTCGTCAACAGCATTCGCCTTGACACCGGCCCTGCTCGGGTACACGAAAACATAGCCTTCGAATTGAGGATCGGGAAAGCGAATGGCTCTCGCGACACCGAAACCAAAATCATGTTTCTGGTACACATTCATGCCTTGCCAACTCGTACCTGCCAGGTCCATGCCTAGGAAGGAACTCATGTTGATGTTGATCCACCGCCTATCGTTGAGCCCCGCGATCCACTCGGGAAGCTCAGCGACGTATTGCGGAGTGATTGTCTTGATCGAGTTCCGCACTCTTTGCGCAATGCTGGGAAGGTTGTCTTCAGCAAGAAGTTCAGATATCTTGATCGGCTCGGTGCGAGGAAGCGCAACCGCATTGCCCATCATCGTTTCCGGCAGAGGCGGGTCCAACACCTTTCGTGTATTGAGTGCATGAACTAGGATGACCTCCTTGCCAAGATCAGGGTGGAGAAGCTCAAGCTTGGACCGTGTGATACTCTTCCAGAGGATGGACATGATTGCATCGTAAGTCGAGATCCAACTGTCTCCTGTCTTTGTCATGGCTCGAGACTTGAGTTCCTCCGTCTTACTCTTAGGAAAATGCCACATTCGAATAGCCAACTCGGGCATCTTGAAGTCGGCTGGCGGTGGAGGAGGCGGACCCCCGCCATCCTTAAGTACGGGGAACTTGTGGTCGAGTTCCTTCCACCGCGCAGCATCTGGCTTCTTTGCACTGAGACGCGATCGGTCCATCGTTTCCTTGGGGACTACCTGGAAGGAAGTTCCATTGGCCACCGCTGCAGAGTTCTGCGCCCAAGTGGTAAGGAAGCCGTCGCATCCCGGGCCGTCGGAACAGTTGTGATGGATAGCAACACCGAGGACGAGACCGCCTTTGATGAAATTTATCTGAAACGTAGAAATGAGGAGATCGTCTTCCTGATTGTCCCCAAGCGGCGAGAACAGTTGTTTCTCTGTCACCGCCTTGGGCAACAACCTGTGTCCCTTGAACGTCGCGGCTGGGAAATCGGTCCTATCCAGCTCTTCAAACGAAGGAAACGTTTCCTCCAGGTTCTGCACAAACAGACTGACTTCACTGTCCTTTTTCTTCGTCACCCACAGCCGTCCATTGTCCGCGTCCATCTTCAAGCCGCCGGCGAGAATTGGGAACTGGCTCAATGTGACTTCGAGACCCTTGGCCATGCTATCCACGACCTTGGCCTTTTCAACATGTGGCGCGAGCTGGAACACCTCCACTATCTGCACATAGATCTTCGGCATGGTGTGGTCCATATCGGAGAGAGCGAAGTCCTCCTCTGCAGGAGCGCTCTCCCAACCTGCTGGGCGGATCCTAAGCTCTTTCGCGGACATGCTGCTTGCTGGGGTAAAACGTGGTTGAGGCCGAGAAGCTCCAGAAAAATGCAATGAATAAGAGACAGAAGGATTTCGCTTAAAACCACGACCCTTGGGGACGGAGAATTTCAGCAGCTGATCATATCAAAGCCTCGACGTTGCGCGCCTTGCACTGTGGAGACGGCAAGGTTCATTTTAACCAGTGCGCCAATCATGAACTGTTTGTGAGGCGTTACTTCGGTCGGAAAACCTGCAGTTCTACATCCGATAAAGTGCCGTTCCTGACTCACTCTTGTACGGTCTCGCCAGGACAGTCTAATGTCTCGCAGGAAGAATGGTGAGTGCGTGCGGAATCTAGGCGCGGCAAGCGGCAACGGCGCGGCGCGAGCTTGAATGAAAGCATATCTCACCTCATGCAGACTTCCGTGGAGTCCAACCCCAGATTTTGACTAGGGCAATGCACAATACTTCCGAAGTGTTCGCGTTCCACTACCCACATACCATTTGCGCATACATAAGGAGACAAGTATAAAGTCTACTTCTAGTTGATCAGGATACAACAAGGCATTACAGTTAAGCCTTAAGGGTAGCTCGCGGACTGCCTATAACGTAAGTCGCGATAGGGAGATAACATCAGTTTTGAAGAACACCGTGGTAATGCCACCGCTTATCACTCTGCGTCACGCCGCACGTTCGTGCCCAAAGGAGTCTCCTCATCAGGACCGAATGTCGCTACCGCATGTTTGGACCGTTGGCAACCCCCACCCGATACTCGTCCTAGTAACGAGTCGCGAACTTCAACGACATAGGGCCGACTTCATGACAAGGATCGGGAGCGCTTCTTCATGCCGACTCACGCACCGTTTCATTGGGCACATGCTGCAAAAATCAAATGGTTCCTGCGTCGCGTATAGCGACACATACCTTTCCCCGTTTTGTAAGGGGTTACTCTTTACTCACTCGCAGCACTTCGACTTATTGCGGCCGGACGAAGTACTCGCGATCTTTTGGTATTTGTTGAGAAGAAGTGCATACCGTTTGGAGTCTTCACGTACTGTTCACTGCCCACTATGGATTTTGTCCGAAGAGCCGGAGATAATGTGAATTTGGTGGTGTACGATAACATTCAGCCCATTGTTTGGATCACCACAGTTCCATTCTTCATAATGGGCTTGATATCATCTGCTATCCGGCTTTACACTCGAGCTTTTATACGAAAGCCTTTTGGTACAGACGACTGGTTCATGCTGGTTGGAACTGTGAGTGTTAAACCTACCCTGTTTCTGAGCCGTGCTGTGACTGACCCAGAGACAGATTTTGTTCATCGGGCAGCAGTATATCGCTTGGATGTGGACCATCTTAGGCGGCGGGCTGTAAGTTTGACACTTTCTGGAGAGAAGTTTTCCAACTGTTTTTCTAGGCACGTTACCGACCCTCGTGTTAAGCCTGAAAACCTCAAGAAAATCAGCACTGTACGTTATGGCAGTCTTACGTGCAATGCGCGCTTTCGCTCGCTTGGTCATACATATTAACACATAAGGCAGTATCTCTTCGCAGAAGAGTTCTACTATCTTCTTCTACAGTTCTTCATAAAGATGTCGTTCCTCTTCTTCTATCGCCGCACACTCGAGGTCACACCAGGTTTTAGGATCGCGGTAATAACCACTATGATCCTGGTCGGCTTGCAGACGAGCGGCACATGGATTTTCTACGGCCTGCAATGTATCCCCATCCAGGCCTTTTTCACCCCAGAACTTTATCCGAACGCTGTCTGCATTTCCTCTGGTCTATCATACTACTTGCCCTCCGTTGCTGTAAGTCGCTCGTCACCTGTCAGACTACTCTCCACTGACACTATGCAGAACGTCTTCATGGACGTAGTGATTTATCTCCTCCCGATCTACCCTCTGTGGAACGTACAAACTACGGTCCGCCGCCGAATCGGTCTGATGTGCGT